TGCATCTGCAATCTGAGTCTGGTCAATTACTGTGCAGCTCCCAGGACACACAGCAGTGGCCAAGAGTGCCGTCTGTACCTGTGAGCGCCTGGGATTTGGCTGCCTGCTCTGGAACGCCCAGGGCGTACAGGGCTCATAACTGTTTATAACCTCCCGACTTGCAGCAGAAGCCTGTAATATTAAAAAGTACGCAGGACAGCACAGTACCATTACTGTACCACAGTACCATTTTACGAAAACAGTCAATCGGCAAAATGAAGTTCGATATTCCCAGTGGGTTTTCTCAACCTTGTTTTATTTTTTTAATGCTTTCTCAAATACCGACATTCAGATGAACCGGATTCCTCAATTGCATCGGCAAGGAGATTATCATCAAACTAATTGTGGCTCATTGTGCAGGAAAAAAATGGCTGTGATCTCAAAAGCAATTAAAGATCACTGTTAGCCACCCACTGAAAAACAAAGCACTCGGTGGCTTTTATTTTCCCCCAGGCTGTTGCCTGGTAAACTCTCAGACTTGTTTCTTTGTGACGATCAATGGCACAACACATCACAGGGCCTGCATGTCGTGTATTTAGTCAACCTGCCACACTGGCTGATCACACAGTCCTGTTGACTGCTGCCAGCATACAGTATTTCCACTGAATCTTCTTTACTGAGACACGAAATGCATCACTGGTACACAGGCAAACGCAAACTGAACTGTACAAACAAAAGAGAAAGAGAGACCCCCCCCAGCATGAGTGGTGTGACATACCTTCAGTATGTTTTCAAGAAGACCTGAACCACAGCTTTTACTCCCCAGATTAAGGGTCAGGCCTAATCACTGTATCAGCTCTGTGATAACTGCAGAGGGTCTCAAGTGACATGATTACAGAGCCCATCGCCACCCTCTGGTATTTCCTTCACTCAGTGTGTCCAGCCCTTCACTTTCCCTTCTTAAGAATATCTGTTCATGCCTGCAGGAGATGGCTGGGTTTCTAAGTTCTGCTAGCTGGCTGCACTCTTCAGAGCTACGTCTGTCACAAGACCTGTGGTCAGAGGAGTGAAAGCACTGTGTAAGATTGTGAGACCTCTCTCTTATCTTCACAGATATAGCTTCTCTGGAAACCCCCGACACCGACTTGCACAACATCCCTTCCTCACCACAAAAAAAGAAAATGAAGAAAGAGATCTGATTTAGACTTTCCTTTTAAACATCAGGGGTTCCCCTCTGAGAGAAACATTCGATCTTGATTGTTCTAAAATGCTCTCTGGGGAATCTCCTTCAGCTTATGATGGTACTCTGATGGTAAAAAGACTGCACAAAAACACCATGGTAAAAGTCTGTGAAGAAAATTAATTACTAGTACCTCCCAAGCTTGCATTACAAAGCGGGGCGACACACTACTGATATACCTGTTCATATATTCTGAGGGCACAAAGTGCGAGAGAAACACTGCGTGCTTTATTAACGTGACAGTCGTGCACATTTACTAAAAATGGTGAGAATGCCCAAAGCTTGTGGCGTAGGCAGCGGCCCCATGTCCACTGGACTTGCGGACCTGTGAAAAAGGTGGTGGCTTGCATTCTATCAATCTATAGCCCTATCTATTGACCACCAAGATGCGTAGATGAAGACTTAACTGATTCAAAAAGCAACAAAGTCAAATGAAACAGAAAGATGAAAGATGAAGATGCAAATGTATTAAACATACTGAAGACAGCAAACTACTCGATCAAAACAGGCATTCTGCCTCCCTTCATCCAAGTAACATTATGACATTATTTTCCTGAAACAGACATACTGAAACTCGCAGACGAGCAACAAGTGCACAGTTTCTCACTTGTTCTTCTTTCGGCGGGGGCGCAGGAGTTGTGAGGTGATGACGGCTGATGTGAGCAACACAGCTGTCCTAGCAGAGCGTCTTCAATTGCAAAGCAGCAGAGAACATGAAAGGATTATATATCTGTGTAAAAAACACCGTGGGCAATCGGCACTATTAAATGTCATGATCTTGCCATGTTGCAAGCCTGCGAAACTGTCCCCGTCTGCTCTAGGCTTGAGCATGGAAAACCACCTCGCCTGCTTTTGCCTCTTCTTCCGGACAGAGAGCCAGAAAGGACCGGCCACTGTTCGCCAATGGTTCATCTGAACTCAAGCCACCAACCTGCCAGCCTGCACTGACCACAGGGCGCTCGCCGAGCTCGCCTGCTCTTCGAACGCTGCTTCGTGAAGACTAACCAGAGGAACACCCCCCAACACATTGCTCAGCAGGGTACAGAAGCAAATGCCGAGAGGAGGAGACCACCTCCACCTCCGTGCCACTGACCGGATTCTGTACAGACAGGGGTCGTTAAGCCCTTCTGCCCAGCAGCCACCCCCTGTGGATTCCTCCCCCTCTCCCAGCTCCGCTGTGGCAGCAGCCTCCGGCTCCCTCCAATGGGGAACAGTGAAACTGCCTTGCAGGCCCTGATCAGGTTGTCACCCCACAGCTACAAGTCTTCAAGTGACCCCTTCCCTCAACTCTGCAGACATGCCAACACAATGACATGGGTGCCGCGTCTTGCCCCGCCGTACCGCCTTGGCTCTAAAAATGGTTCCCCTTGGTCTGCTGGGTTTGGGCGCTAATGCGCTGGGCTGCTCGGTAACGTGCGGGTTTGAACTTGTCCGCCCTGACCTGAGCTGCATGCTTGGCTTCGCGCGAGGCTGCAGCAGAGGCACGGACACCGCGGCGGCTGTCCCTGTGCCACGGCTTTCGTTGCGCACCTTGCTGCTGCTCAAGTGGCTTGAGCACACATTGCAGCACCCAGTACAGTATTAGGAAATAAGTGCACCATCTGTGACACTTTACGTTTTTAAGGGAGTAAATCTGGACCCAGACAGCTTCCTGTCCTGCTCTAACATCAAGATCATGCTGCATTCTTTTAAAACAGCTCCTCAAGGAATCTGTGCCTCTGTCTGAAGTTTCACATCTGTTTATACACTGTATATTAAAAAAACATCACATGGCACGAGTCTCCTTATTTGCTCATCCTTGAGTTCTGTGGGTGATTTTGCATGTTGTAGAATTGTGTGTCCCCTGGCGTGGGGGACTCTGGGGAGGCTGCCGGTGGGAACATGGCTGTGGGGGGAGAGGGCGCCGCCTGCGAGACCCCCGGCGCTCGAGGCAAAACCAGGCTGCCTTTCCGCTCGTCTCCCAAGCACGGCGGGAATGAGTCTTCTCCTCCCAGTCGCTCTTTTCTCGGAACAATTAAGTTAAGTGCGGTGTGCGCAAGCCAGCTCAACTGGAAGTCGTCCGAGAGGGGCTGGAGGAGCGAGCTATAGAAGCTCTCTCTCGCGCCCCCTCGTCTGAGCCAACTCAAAGGTCCTCTGACACGGACTGTCGGCCAGGACAGATGTAATTAGACCACATGCTTCCTGTTCAGCTACAGCACGAGTCCTGGAGCGATGGAGAAGCAGATGGTATTTATTTAGATAGCAGGTCCAATTCCCAAACATTTTGTGACCACAAGAACATCAATAACAGCAGTAAGAGATCTTTCGGCTCTCTGGAATGGGAATGCTCTGTCACAGTCTGTATGTGGACGTATGTATTGTAAATTCAAAGCCTACATTTCTATTTACACTTTTGCCCATTTTCTCTTATCTTTCGGGTTCCATAGTAGAGGGTGTATGTATGTTATATAATGTGTTTTTCAGTAAAACAGATGTTTTAAAATAAACTTACTCTGCCAACAGGAGCACATTCATTTTCTCCCCTGTGAAGCTTGCGGCTCACAGGGTATTGGATGATTTCTTATTGTATCAGCAGAGCTGGTTTCTGCAGTAATGAACTGCAATGTTCCAGCTTTTCGTGCACTGGCAGAAATTGATCTTGGGTTGCCACTGTCAACTTAATTGGATTTTGTAACAGGAAGTAAACTATCAGGTTTTTAAAATAATGCAGTTTAAGAGGGACACATTGTGCAGTACTAGACAAAATGATTCCAGCAAACTCTCAGTTCTTAAAAGTACAAAAATGTGCTGTAGAGCAGGGGTGTCAAGTCCTGATCCTGGAGTATCAACAGGTTTTTTAAATCTTTTTTTTAAGCTGTAGCTCCCAAAGCTGGGAGAATGTGCTAAACTGGATCAGATAACCCCGTAACCTGCTAGTTTATCTGTAAGAGCAGAGCTGGTATGAATACCTGCTGACACATTGGACCTCTAAACAAAAACATGTTTTATATCTGAAGGTTCCCATAGTGTTTCCTATAATTACTTATCGTCAACGATTGCTGCCCAGGTTAAAGCCTGGACACATGGGAGACGTGTAGCGATTGCCTTTCATTTTGCTATGGGATATTTATTTTTTTAGCTATATCTTGGCCTCTTAGGGCACATACAGTACATCAGTGGAAACATATACAGTAATTGCTATTTCATATTCCTTCAAAGTCTCTAGAGTGCTTTTTAAAAGACTGCTACTTGACCAACACATTCCACTGAATTTCAGGTTCAGAAAGAGATGAACTGAGAGGTCATCTTCCCACAAACAGAACTTGTCAGGGCACTGCTGTGCAACCCAACTACACTCTACAGGCAAGGCCAGTGGCAATCTATAGCACAGACAGGAGAGCCAAGCACAGATGGCTAACCCAATCAGAGTCCACAACTCTGACAGCAGGACCAATCACAGAGAGATTGAGCAGGGCCAGTCAGAAGACAAATTATAACTCGCAACAGACTGAGCAGACCCAGTAAGGTCGAAATAAGAGTTCCATACCACGGCCTGGGCTGCAATCTGCCAGACTCATCCCAGTGCAGGTCGTTGGAGCAGCAGCTCCTCATTTATCTAATTTAATTAATGGACAGTTAGATAATTCAAGAGCTTAACAGCACCACAATCCTGCAACGGGGTCGTCTGTAAGGCCTGTGAAAATCCCTGCACGACAGGCCTTTTGGGGCCAGAAAAAAACACTTGCTAGTCCAGTATAAACACAGGGAGTTCTGCCTTTTCCTGCAAAAGAAAAGCTTACAGTGCTCACGCATTTGTGTTCCAGCTCAAAGTACCAAAACAGCAGCAGAGACGGTGTGATGTTGCCAATTTTCTCTCTGTTGGTGCAGCCACTTCCCCATGCAATTTCCTCAGTGAAGCACCGAAGGACATCGCCTGTGACCACTGCAGACACTGAGTCAAGGCCAGCGGCTGGGGGCTCGCCGGCCACTGCTGTCCAGCCCCAGGGAAGCAGCAGCATGGCAGGAAGACTGAACAAGGCACAGCAACAAGAACAGAACGCCCACATACGATTCTGAACAGCGGAACTGACCTCTGTGGTTCAGAGCTCTCCTTTTTCCAAGACATTTGTAATCTGGGATATCAGGTTTTAGAGGGCTGCTTTCCACACCCAGCCCCTGGGTCTGCTCCTGTGCACAGGAGGTCCTGAGCTTTCTAAACTCAAGCAGCATTTGAAATTGCATGATGCTTCGGGGCTTCAGGGTCCCATTATGCAGACTGGGCTGCAACCTTGAGGACAGCTGTTCACACTGTAGTCACTGGTTTACAGGAAGTACACTGCGTAACACAACACAGAATCAGCATGATGATTACCAACAAGTGAGTAAGTACTTTCAAACCTCGTCTCAAAACTCACATTGACACTCCAGCTTTTAATTCTGTTTGCTTTACTGCATTAATGCGCGCAAAGTCTCTTTTGTGGATCGTTTTATTCTCGAATCTCTTCAGATGACTCGTTACAAACGACGCAGTATAAATAAATATTATCATGATTTCAAGACAATACTGTACATCTTCTATTAAATGATCATTTGTTGGCATTTCTGTGCCTTGTCAGATGATTCCACACAGTCTTATCCAGATCACAGTGTATTTTGCACCTTTCAGGAGCTGTGATATCCACTTAGTACCCTTATTTCCAGCTGTGGTCATTACATCACAGTAAAGACCTTTAACATGCAATCTTGAATTGTTTCCATTTTTTTTTATCTTAAATTGGAGAACCGCTCTCTCACACTTCACAATCAAGTTACAAAGGTGCTTAATTATCGTATTTTTCTCCAGCATCTACAGTACTGCAGCCTTTCGTGAGAAACCAGGCACTGGTGGAGTCAGAGTCTGCCGTCGGATCAGCCTTGGAGAATTCCTCAGAAATTCACTCATTAACACCTCCAGAGCCTAGAGCCAGATCACTAAACGTAAGTCCTGTCTAGAAAATGCCAGGATGGATTTAATCATCCTCCTCGTTAATTGAGTTTTTGATGATTGGTAGAACAAGATTAGCATAAGAACAGTCAATGTAATTTTTACTCTTCAGAATGCTTTACTATGGACAGAAAAGGCAGATCTCTCCCTTATGCTACCCAGATAATATTGTTTTAACAGAATGGTCTAATCCAGTGGCCAACCCTGGGCCTGCAGAGCCTGCAAAGCCTATAGGTCACTGTTAGACCCTGTATAAAGGCCTGGAAGAAATGGGAGTTTGGATCAACTTCGCCAGTGAGCCGTTTCAATTAAGCCAGGCATGGCCAGCTGTGACAGAGACCCTAGGGGGCACTAGTGTGTTCATCTAACAGTCTCTAACATGCTTAATTGCACAAATGCCTGCTTCAGTGTTCAAAATGAAAATTGTGCTTACAAAGTGCAGAGTTAAGAGAGACCCAGTAAACCTGTCTGGGACCAGAGTCAGGAAAGCTGCTGCAGATGGAAACCCTTGCCTCCTGCACCTAATTAGTTTGATCACTTTCACTCTTTTAATTAAACGGTGAACCTATAATGTGGGCATGAAGCTGGCCGTGCCGTATGCCCATAATAAATAATTCATTGCTTTTATACAGCTCTTTGATCCAAAAGGATCCCAAAGCACTTTTTTCATGGGAGGCGGCACACTTCATCCACCACTTGGTCACACCCACACGCCTCAAAGACTGACCTGCGGTCCCATCAGGTATTAGAAGCTGTGCCTCCCCTTCCCTACCACTAGAGGCCGCTACTGCTTTAACCAAACCTGAACTACCTTAAGCGGTCAATGAACAGACAGTCATTCAATAGACTCTGTATAAATGTTTCATACCAATTAAAAAGCATAATCAATTCATGACACGGCGTCAATCGGCTACCTTTTAAATGGCAAGATTATAATTAGCACCCCCGTGTGAGTCAACACAGAAACGCAGCTACATAAAGGCAGCTCTGCCTTGAAAATCTTTTCATGAGTCGTGTTTTCAAAACGCTGAATACAGCCGTGACCTCCGAAGGGGAAAGCTGGTGAGGATTTATTCAAGTGGGAGATCTTTCACAAGGGAGAGGGTTGCAACGGGACAGCGTGGAGGGCTGCGACAGCCGTCTCTCAGAAACCAATCTGAAGAAAGCGATGGCATTTGGTTTAAAACGCCGACTGTGCTAAGGGCCTGGAGGATTTGTGTTGTGCAGTGAAAGCACTGCTCCGCTTTAGTCATTCAGAGAAATCTTGGGCTATTATTAAAGGAACATCCTGTGACTGCGAGAGGCAGGTCGGAGAGGGCAAGACAGCATTTTCAGCAGACAGCGGTTAAAATAAAAGTGGCTTCTAAGAAGCAAGGTAAGATGTGTCTTTTGCCGAGAGGGGCTAATGAGAGTAGGCAGAGGCCGTCAGAGCTGAGCTCTTTTCCAGGGCTTCACAAAGCTCTAGGTTCCCCTGTTGGCTGTAGATGTCTGGGCGCTCGACCACAGTCATCAGGCCATCCCAGTCCCCCTTGATCTCACTCTGCGGCTCAGCTACACAGTGGGAGCAGAGCGACGTTTGGAGATTCCGGGCTGAATGGGAAAAGAAAGCAAGAGCACATGAGACACACAGAGCGGGGGAAATGACTCTCCTTCTAATCGGGTCGTCACAGCGGGGTCACCGTGCCCCTGTGGAGTCAGTCCGAGGCGACGGACTCTAGAGAGGGGTAACGGAGCAGAGGAGTGACCGGCTGTCCACACAGCCAACTGCAAAGCACCAGGCCGCGCACATCAGGCTTCTTGTGCAACGTTGTAAAAAGGAAAGGAACTGACATGCTCATTTAAGTAGCCCTGTTTTTAAAGCTCCTCTTTCCTGCTATTAGGAAGCAGTTTGTGCAACTGCAGCTCTTTGTTAATCAGCCCTTTCCTGTAAAGCCCCTTGGCCTAGAGTCACTTAGACAAGATGTCGGTTAAACTGTGTTCTAGAACCCTGTCCCAGCCTGGAAAAATGCCTCTCCCTTCGTCACTACGCCGGCGGCAGTAAAATGTTGATTGTCAGTACAGATCTCATATTAATAAAAATACATACAGCATTAAGATTTCCGTTCGCCAGCAGCTTCATTCCTGCCGTTTCTGGGACGTCGGGGGAAAAAAAGCCCTTCTCCGATCCCGAGACGTCAATCTGCTCTGCTGAGTCGTCATTTTAAAATATCACGTTTCCCCTCATTCTGTCAAAAAGAGAGCTAAACCTCTTCCATCACCAACCCCTAGCTTCTAAGTCTTCTGCAAACACCCGTTTCTCCGGACGTCGGAGGAGAAGGCTGCTGTAGTCTGGGGTTTATTAAGGAAATCTCACCGTGTACATTTTCCAAGAGAGCATTGCAGTTTATCCAGCTGCTTTTGGTTTCAATAGTGCATTTATCGGGGGGAGAGTGCAAGTTCTCTATCACAGCCCTGCCTGGCACCAGGATTTTTAGATTTTTTCTTCCACACAACCTGGACTGAGATGCCTCCCTGTTTGTATCAGGTGTCCTGGTGGACTGCAGGCCTGTGGGCGAAACCCTGGAGGAGACCTGTGGACAGTGCAGGGCCCAGCCCAGCTGACGGAGCTGTTACTGCGGAAATAAAGCAGGACCAGCTCGTTAATTCCGCAGAGTGCACCTGCCCAGAGGAGTATTCACAGGCGTCTTTTGTCCATATTCAAGGTCTCTTTACAGGTCCAAAAAGCTTTTAAGGGTCTTGCAAACCCACTTCTGCCAAATCACATGAATGGAGCTCATTACTCCCTCAGAAAGCTACGTTAGTGCCATGTATTTTTTTTCTTCGCAAAGCCCCCTTTACTTTCAGACAGATATTTTTCTCGACACGCAAGCTATGTTTTGAAGAGATGTGGTGTTTAAATGGGGGTTGGGGTTGGGCCTTCCTTCAGTCTCTGGGCTGTGCTCTCTTCCTGCTCGCTTGCGTCACCCCCTCCTCTGCTGCAGCTGAAGGCACAGGCTGACAAAGCCTCTAATTTCAGGTTCCACCATTGTTTGAAGCACAGATAAATATATATTCTTCCCTTTGTAAAAAAAAACACCCTCATTTCTGTGTCAAGGAAGCTCAGCCATAGTGCGACACCAGCCACCAACACACAATCCACACACAATTGAACACAGCCTTGTATACAGTTAGTGGCCTTGATGCTGATGGCTCACAGCCCGGGCTGATGTATGATCCTACACACTGGTGCTCCCAGGGTAATGTTTTCTATCCCGATGAGAGCTCTCATTTCCTGAAATCACCCTGGCACACCACGATGTAGAGGAGACAAAGTAAATAGTGCTGAACCAAGGGACACGAGGAAGCCAGCTGCCTGATTCTACACCACAAACACAGCCCAGCACAGCGAAGGAGACAACAGTGCTGCTATAGCAGCACAAGCACAACCCAGCACTGTGCAGGAGACAAAAGTGCTGTTAAACAGTAGCACCACAAACACAGCCCAGCACAGTGCAGGAGACAACAGTGCTGTTATACAGTAGCACCACAAATACAGCCCAGCACAGTGCAGGAGACAACAGTGCTGCTATAGCACCACAAACACAGCCCAGCACAGTGCAGGAGACAACAGTGCTGTTAGAGCAGCACAAGCACAGCCCAGCACAGTGCAGGAGACAATAGTGCTGTTATGCCTCATATTTCTATTCCTCAGTGCTGGTCAGTTTCACAGCCTCTATCCACACTGCACCAGTCCTGTTTCAGCACAGAGAGCTTTCCCTAGACAATATGACAGTAAGACAATATGTTCTATTTCTTAGTAATTTTACTCATGAATATTTATTGTCTTTACTGTTGCAGAATGCATTTTTCTGTGCAGACTTACAGTTCCCTCTCACAAAAAAAGCAGAATGTTGTGATTGATGATCTACACTGCAGCACTTTTCTCTGCAGACTGTGCAGATTTGCACTTTCTCAAGCAACACCAGGGTTACTGCAAAAAGCAATGCGTGCTGGGAAGCAATATAAATACACTCTGTGAAGCAGAGGTATTTAACTGGCCGCGTCCCCAGCATCCCTGCAGGTTGAGCAGAATGCAGGCCTAGACGTTCATCAGTCCCAGGAAGAGCGCGGACAATAGCTGACCGCATCAATTGGAAATAAGGAAGTTACTGTATGCATTCTTATGCTTTTCCTATGGAGCTTCCTAACTACCAGACAGGGACCCTGTGGAAGTCTAACAAACTGCTTAAATCTAATTCTAGAGGCAAGGTTATTAAATAAGGTCGTCTCTTCTTCCGCAGCTCATAATAAAACCTTCGGTGTCTCAGTCAGGGCGGATAACGACAGGGGACCTCCGTCATGGGAGCAGAGGCATTCCTTAGATTGCTGTGGAAAATCTACACAACGTCCAGTCATTACTGCTGCAAAGTTAATGAGCTGCATTTATCTCAGTTCTAAACACTGCACTGCCAGCGTGATAGCACCGATCTTTCCACCAGGCTCTCAGGCCAGAATCCTCACACAAAACAAAGGTTTTGCATAGTGCATTGCGATTTAGGCTTGTATTTTACTGTTTTAATTGGCAGAACAACAGCACTGTTGCCTACAAGACATTAACGTGAAGGAGTCAGACACGACAGTAGGCTCAGATCTCATGTTGTGGTGTGGCTGTGTAACAAGCCAGTTACTGTACAACAACGACCAGGAGAGGGTACAGGACGTTTTAATTATTTTCAGACATAAAATATGCCAACTTGGGTTAAAAAATTATTTTGGAACATGACATTTAAGACCACATGAGCAAGAAGGGCCGAGTGTGATCTTTATTTAACGAACTTAAATGCCCTTCCACAGTAGACCTTTGAATTAAGAGCTGTAGGTGTTGTGCTCTTCTTTTACCGAATAATACCGTGTTACAGAAAGGAAATCTCCCCGTTGCTTGTCTGCAGCACGATCATACTGCCTTGTTGAGACTTCACCAGAAATGTAAAAATCTAAAAAAAGGTTTAGAAGCCATCACAAGGCTTAACAATAAGAATCCCGTATGAATTAAAATTAAAAAAATCACATTTAGCCCACAGCTCTAAGTAATTATCATTCATCAGGAAAATTTTAGAAGCTTTGTTTCCACTTGATCATTCACAAAAAAAAAACATGAAAGCATGATCAAGTATTCGGAAAGGGCTGAACGCTCTCCTCTTTGCCTTTCTGAAAGCTCCCATTTGAGCAGATCATCTCAAGGGCAGTTACTGCACACACACTGGTGATGACACACACATCTGGAGGGGCTGCCAGAAGAGGTGACATCACGGAACACCGGAGGCGCAGACAGCACCACAACTCCATGGGCAGCCAATGGCATCAGGGGCAAAGACATGCTTTCTACATCACTGCAGTGAGATAGAGTAAGTCATCCAAACTGGCCTGTGACTGCGCTGGCATTTATTCCCACCCCTCATGTACCTGATGGCTCCAGCTGCAATGAAACATCTTAAAAATTAATTCTGTCCTCATAATTGCTTCACAGACACCCAGTGCACTGTGATAGCTAATGCAGGTCAGGGAGCCTTTAATCAGCTCATCCTTTTAGCTCTGGCAACAGGCAGAGGGCTAGTCTTAACAACTTAACCCCATTTCCACGTTGATAATATCATAGAGCTAAAGAGGAGATTTTAAATGGCTTTTTGAAACAGTTTGTCCGAAAGTAATTATATGACTCTCCTTTTGAGGAAAATATTAATATCTCTGAAATCATTTCTACTACAGTTGAACTCTTCTGCAGATGCATGCTGTACTGTATCCTGAGCAGGATACCGAACAGATCCGATACAGATACAGCAAGGTTTGGTCTTTTGCAGGAGTACGTGAATGTACAATTTCCCCTGCTATTTATACTGAGAGATTACTAGTGCCATATGTCAACACTGCCAGCGTGCAGAGAAAGGAACAGGAATGTCACTGCGCTGGAAAGCGCCTGCGCAGTCTGACTGGGGTGACAGCACACAGAAGTGCTGGGGGTGGTGGGCTGAGACAACGGAGGTAATGACCAATAATGACTTCTCGGAACAATGCGGCTACGCACAGCTAGTGCCAAGCACCCCACATTTCAGCAGTGACTTCAACCGAATCCAATGTGTCTACACCATTCTTCTTTCCTGTTTAGTCAGTAGATCTTTAAATAACAGAGACACCCACCTAGAATGCAAAACCTGCCCACAGTGGCTTCTCAGCCACAGCACCCATTGTGTTTTTTCCCCACGCTGCAGCTCCGCTGAAGGGCGAGGGCTAGTGACAGACTCTGGCTCGGGTTCAGTAACACTGCAGGCTTTTTGTTCCAGCATTCGAGCATGATGTTACCTCACAGGCACTAGAATGAAAGGAGGCTGTCTGACTTGGCCGTCTCCATTATAGCAGACATGTATAAACAACTGGCCAGAGCACTGCGTGCAAATCTCCATTGAAATCCCATCAACACTCGTACACCCATCGCCACCCATGTGAAGGCCTACCTTGCTACAGCTAACCTAGTTATGCTGTGGGTTCATGTTGCTTCACAGGACTCAGCCACAGGAATATCACAGTGTAGTACAGCAAATGAGCCTCAAAAAAGGCTTACCATAACATATCATAGTATTACTGTGGTCCAGTGTAGTTCACACATTGCAAGTTAAAACCACGGAATGAAACCACTGTAAACCATGGTTAAGGTGCCGAAACACTATGCTAAATTACCAAGGGGGGCTTTCCTAAGGTAGCATTAGCTGTGTGACCTCCAGGATTGCACACAATGCAACTTACGCACTGTAGAAGAATCAGCTGCACACTGCTGGCGTGCTCTTTCCTCATCAACAGCAGAATTCTCAAGCTTTGCACACGAAGGAAACACCAGGCTCCTTTGTGGAGGTGTGACCTAGCCCACGCGGGCGAGAGACGGGCCTGACGATGGGGGAGAGAGACAGGGGCAGGGCCTCCAGAGTTCACGATGAAAACGAAAGTGTCAGGTTTTCCGTGGTAGTTTGTAAACAGGAAGCTGAAAAATGTCCTGGACTTGTGTGCAGCACGCTGGCTTAGCCAATAACAGAGCAAACAATGCATTTTTGGAGAGACTGCTCTGAAAGAAAGGGGGAAGAGATTCCTTTAGCCAGCTCTTTTATAAATATACACACACACAAGAGTTTTTAGACAGAACTGTGAGAAATGTGCAGCAGCACATACCGCAGTTTGATGGTTCACTGTGAAAAGAAAAGTTGTGGACTCCGATTGCTACTACAGTATGTTCTCGTTAGAGGAGACAGAACTATTACAGCTGACACGACTGTTGCTGCTTCTGCTGTTACCATTGCAAGTGGTAAGAACACAACACCCGCAATAATCATGACCAAACATTCAAATGACCAAACGTTCCCAAAGGGGGACGTTCAAATGGTTAAGATATCGAATATATTTTTTTAAAGATCTCAGTTAAGAGTTTTGCTTTTACTGTAGCTTCTTCCCACAGAGGGCCGTAGGAGTACGAAACAAGCTGCTCACCCATGCAGTAGAAACCGATACCTTGGCTTCATCCTCCCATCAATCAGCTACTAACTACTAAACAGGCTAGATGTGCCGAATAGCTCCTCTCTCTTGAGACCGGGCTTGTGTTCTTATATTCCTTTGGTTGCATACTAAAAACTTCAAAGAACATTTGCATGAAAAACAAAAGAAATGTGGTAGATGACAAAATGAAAGGATCCTCTTTCTTTGCACCTTAAAAAGTGCAGAAATCTAAGGGAGCAGTCTGGGCCTTGGGCATTATTTTTGTCTCTCTGGCTGTTCCTTAGCCATCTCAGAACTTAAAGTGGAAGTTAATACCACAGTACAGAGGAAAATAATTGATCTGAAAAACAACCAAGTGAGAAAACATACACATTGAATTTCTTTTAAAGGTTTTAGCACAAAATGGGCCTCGAAATCTGGGTTCTGGCGTCTTGAGTTAATTAATGGTCCTGAAATACACACACAGCGGGGAAAGGCTAATTGACTTGTTCTGGGCTCTGTCTGCCACAAAGCTGATGGATGCGTTGTTTAGTTTTTCTGCAGCTCCATCAGT